TGTCCGTTGTGCCCTAGTCTAGTGCTTCTAAGTGGCTAACAAAATATAAAAACATAAAACAGATGAAGATAAAATAAATAAAGGGCCTGGTGGCTCAGCAGACTGATAGCATTGTGATTAACACCAGCTGTCTGCAATTACTGTAGGTTCGAATCTCACCAGGCTCAAGGTTGACTCAGCCTTCCATCCTTTCTAAGGTAGGTAAATTGAGGACCCAGTTTGTGGGGGCAATAAGCTGACTTTGTATAAATATACAAAAGTACGAAGGCTATTGCTTAACGCATTGTAAGCCACCCTGAGTCTCCGGAGAAGGGCGGCATATAAATCAAATAAAAAAAAAATGCAATCTAGATGTTGGAGAACAAGCATCCCAGATGGGAGGAGGGCGGGGGTGTCAAACAGGGAATTAGCCTAGATAGACTCACCACACAAACACAAGAGGGCACAGTCTGACCTCCCACTGAATACCTTTGAGCCAGTGGTGAAATCCAAATTTTTTTACTACCGGTTCTGTGGGCATGGCTTGATGGTCATGGTGTGGCTTGGTGGGTGTGGCAGGGGAAGGATACTGCAAAATCTCCATTCCCACCCCACTCCAGGGGAAGGATACTGCAAAATCCCCATTCCCTCCCCACTCCTGGGGGAAGGATACTGCAAAATCTCCATTCCCATCCCACTCCAGGGGAAGGATACTGCAAAATCCCCATTCCCTCCCCGCTCCTGGGGGAAGGATACTGCAAAATCTCCATTCCCACCCCACTCTGGGGCCAGCCAGAGGTGGCATTTGCCAGTTCTCCGAACTACTCAAAATTTCCGCTACCGGTCCTCCAGAACCTGTCAGAACCTGCTGGATTTCACCCCTGCTTTGAGCCTTACCTGGCCTTTCCCAGGTGAGAACTGCCAATATGGGGAGATTCCTATATTATAGGCTGAGAAAAATAAAGTAACCCATTTGAACTCTACACCTCTGGATCTGGTTATCTGTTATCTTATTATATTGTACAATATAATACAATACAATATAATACAATGTAATACAATATAATTCAATGTAACTGTGGCTGGAAACCTCACCCAAAGCACATCATAAACCATATATACCAGACCCAATTAACATTCTGGCCCCCAATAAATGAGAAAAGGGTCTTTAATGCTCTCTGGAAACCCAGCAGGGCTGGGGCCATTTAAATTTCCGGAGGGAAGTTGTTTCCTGGAAGAGAAATAGTGCCTGCACACCTGAGCCCAGTCGGGGATTCACAAATTTGATGAATGAAGAGAAAAGATACATTCTCTCCTGCTTTCAAATTCCAACATATAGGCTTATCTAATGAAAAAGGCTGCGGTTCATTTAATTCCCTCTAAAGTAAACATTTCTCAGTTACGCTCATAATTGATTTTGGAAAACCCAGATGCAGGGATAGAAGGAAGGGCCATCATTCAGGTTTAGCACAATTTTTGTCACATTCAGCCTCTGTTCTTTTCTGGGAGGAGAAGGAGGACATCATAATAATAATAATAATAATAATAATAATAATAATAATAATAATAATAATAATAATAATAATAATAATAATAATAATTTTATTTCTATACCGTCCTTCTCCCGAAGGACTCGGGGCGGTGTACAGCCTATTTAAAAACACAAGACAAAAACAACAATAAAAATTTAAAATGATTAAATAGATTTGGCTCAATTTAAAACCCCAGAAATTTAAAATACCCCAATTTAAAATTACTATGTTGATAGCCCGGCCTGGCGGAACAACGGGGTCTTCAGTGCGCAGCGAAACACCCGGAGGTCGGAGATCTTACGTATTTCCGGGGGCAGTTCATTCCACAGGGCTGGGGCTCCCACAGAGAAGGCCCTCCCCCTGGGTGTCGCCAGCTGACACAACTTGGCCGATGGCACCCTGAGGAGACCCTCTCTGTGGGAGCGGACTGGCCGGTGGGAGGCTATTGGTGGCAGAAGTCGGTCTCGAAGGTACCCGGGTCCTGTGCCATGGAGCGCTTTAAAGGTGGTGACCAACACCTTGAATCGCACCCGGAAGACCACTGGGAGCCAGTGCAGCTCGCGCAGGAGGGGTGTCACGTGGGCACAACGAGTTGCGCCCATAACCACCCGCGCGGCCGCATTCTGGACCAGTTGGAGCCTCCGAGTGCTCTTCAAGGGGAGCCCCATGTAGAGAGCATTACAATAGTCCAACCGGGAGGTGACAAGGGCGTGAGTGACCGTGCGCAGGGCGTCCCGGTCCAGAAAGGGCTGCAACTGGCGAATCAGGCGGACCTGATAAAAGGCCCCCCTGGCCACGGCCGTCATATGCTCTTCTAAAGACAGCCGTGCGTCCAGGAGGACGCCCAGATTGCGAGCCCTCTCTGTGGGGGGCAAAGATTCACCCCCAATAGTCAGCGATGGCGATAGTAACAGTAATTTCATGCTTCGGTCACCATCTGGTTGGACTACTAGAGAGCACTCTACTTGGGGCTGCCCTTGAAGAAATTTCAATTAGTCCAAAATGCAGCAGCCTACTTTTTTTTTTTTTTTTAGCATTTTACTGTTTGGAGCATATAACACCGTTGTTTTAAACTCTGCATTGGTCACCAGTGCGTTTCTGGAAAGTTTAAGGTGGTGGTTTAAACCTATAAAGCTCTTTTTGGCAGGGTGTCTACATTTATGAAAGACCACCTATTCCAGAGGTGTCAAACTCAAGGCACGCGGACCACATGTGGGGTGCATAGATCTGGCCCATGGGGTCGGCCTGGAAACAGGAAAGGACTGGCCCACAGTGCTTCTGCCAGCAAAAATGGAGCTGATGGGGAGGGGGGAGGCATGTGCCCCCCCCCCGGGCTCCATTTTTGCTGGCAGAGGGCTATCAAAATAAACTAAAAACAAAACAAAAAGATAAAAGTTTCCCCTTTTGCATTTGAGCATGCAAAAAATGACAGGAAAGGAGAAAGGGAAAGAGGAAAGACAAAGAAAAAGAAAAAGATGGGAAGAGAGCAAGAAAAGAAAAATAAGGAAAGAGGGGAAGGAAGAAGAAATGAGAAGGAAGAAGGAAGGAAAAAGAAAAGGAAGGAAGGAACGAACGAACAAATGAAGGAAGGAAGGAAGGAAGGAAGGTAGGTTATAATGAGAGTGAGAGAGGGTCTCAGGCAGTGATGGGTTCTAATCAGTTTTACCACCAGTTCGCATCGTGCACACACTTTGCGCACGATCGCTGAACTTGCGCTTTGCGCAAGCGCATTGGGTAAAAAAACAGCTGAGGCATGGAAATCCACTCTGCTGCGCCTTACAGCTGACCTAAAAACAAAAGAAATAAAGGTAGGTATAGCGCGGGGGTGGGGAGGAGGGCCCAACTGATGTTCGGAGCGAACCAGTTCGCTCTCCTATCAAGATTTCCACTACCGGCTCTCCCGAACCGGGGAGAACCGGTAGCAACCCACCATGGTCTCAGGTAAATCCTGACTTAGCACTTGGCCACCACAGGTGCCTCTGACACGAGTCCCATGTCCCGGCCATGCCCATGATGGCCACTCCCACTCCCAGCCATGCTCCCCCGGCCCTCCAGGTCAAATACAACCCTGATGCAGCCATCAATGAAATTGAGTTTGACACCCCTGATCTATTCAAACAACTAACAACCCACCCGATCAGCTCACACACAGAGAAATGTATTCCGATAAAAGAGGATTTCTGTAGCTCATGGTTGAACTGTGAAGTCCTTAGTGCTCTCTTGGGTGATTTCTTGCAGGTGTTTCATTACCCAACTAGTTCTTCTTGGTAGTTCCTTGATTTCTATAGAGATAAACCACACTTATATACTATTTAAAAGAGCCAATAAGAATTTAGGAAGGAAACAGAAAGACCAGAACATATCCTTTCCAGCAACCAATACCCAGATAAGCAAGGATTAACACCAGACAAACAATCAAGCAGAAAACTACTCTAATCAGGGAACTACCAAGGAGAAAACCACCTCCACCATCATTGGCAGGGCAAACTACTATATATAAACAGGGAGTGAGCCCGACACTTAACAAGCACTGATGATATTTATCTAGTCAGGTAATGAAATGCCTGCAAGCAGCCTGCAAGCTCAGAGAGCACCAAGGGCTCCATGGAGAAACTTATTATTCAGATGTTTTCGTGACTGACATTTGGAGGGTTGAAACAATCTCCAGGTAGAGATCAAGCTGGGAGGGAAATACTTACCCTGGTGTGAAAAGTGACACAGATTTTGTTGTTGTTGTTGTATTATTGTTGTTATTGTTGTTGTTATTCATTTTACCCCCTCCAGGGTAAAAGAACTGCTGAAAGCTAGAAGCAGGAATGATATCCAGGCCTTTCAGTCCTTTAAGACTGTTTGGGGGAATGGGTTGGCTCGTTTTAAGAAATCCATTTGCATCCATGGCTCCTTCTGAGGGCAAATGGGATTGCAACAGGCAGAGCCCAGCCTGGGCATCTATGGGGGGTAGGATAAGGAAATGGGTGGGAAAGGGGGTTGCTGGAGAAAATAAAGGAGGAAGAGGAGGAGCAGTATGGAAGAAAGTAATGAGTGGGTAAAGGGAGATTAAAAGGAAAGCAAATAGGGAGGGAGGGAGGGAAGGAAGGAGGAAAGAAAGAAAGAAAGAAAGAAAGAGGGTGGAAATGAAAAGAGGAAGGGGAGGAAGGAGGAAAAGGAAAAGGAAAAGGAAAGGAAAGGAAAAAAGGGAAAGGAAAGAAAAGGAAAGAGGAAAGGAAAGAGGAAAGGAAAGGGGAAGACGGGAATGAGAAGGAAAGAAGGAAAAAAGGAAACGAGGGAGAAAGTAAAAGAACATTTTGAAGGTAAAGAAGGAAAAAAAGAAAGATGTGCAATGCAAGAAAGAAGGAAGAAAATGCAATGCAGGGTAGAAAAGGGGGTAGAAGGAAAGGGGGGTATTTAGGGAAGGAAAAATACGTACAAAGAAAACAATTTATGCTACTGGAGGTTCATATTTCTCTCCCACTCCTTTTATTCTTCCAGATTAAGGATGGTCCATCTAATGCAAGATGTTGGCTGCTGGTTCCTGCTTGCCTATCTCCTCCCTCTCTCAGTTCTGGGTGAGTGAAACAATTGTGTGAAATGATAGGGGTGTGTCAATAGCTTGATTTATCTGGACAGAATTTATTTGTCTGCCTGTAATGCTGAACCCCCAATGATGGAATATTGTGGGGGGGGGGATTCTATTGACTTTCTGCTCTTCCCAGGTGCTTCTGGGTTCCTAGAAAAATCTGTTCGGATGTTATTTGAACCTGTGTGCTGGGCTCTCTGCTTCTGAAAATTTTTCTTTTTTGATGGATCTTTCTTTGATCTGTGGGGAATTCTTTTATGACACTCGTTGAACAAGTACAGATAGTCCTCGACTTACAACAGTTTGTTTAGTGACTGTTCGAAGTTACAACGGCACTGAAAAAAGCGACTTATGACCGTTTTTCACCCTTGCAACTGTTGCAGCATCCCCATGGCCATGTGATCGAAATTCAGATGCTTGACAACTGACTCATATTTATGACTGTTGCAGTGTCCCAGAGTCTCGTAATCTCCATTGGCACCCTTCTGACAAGCAAAGTCAATGGGGAAGCCAGATTCACTTAACAACCCTATTACTAATTTAACAACTGCAGGGATTCACTTAACAACTGTGGCAAGAAACATCATAAAATGGGCCAAAACTCACTTAACAAATTTCTCACTTAGCAACATAAATTTTGGACTCAATTTTGGTTGTAAATTGAACACTACCTGTAGCGCTTTTGAAGTCTATAGCATTCTGGAACATCTCAGCAAGACGGAGGTTATGACTTTGTCATGGATTATTTTGATTAGAAAAAAATAAAAGCAGTGTGCAGCAGCTGCCAAAAAAAAAGACAACACAGTTCTGGGCTGCATAAACAGAGGGATAGAATCATGTGAAGTGTTAATACCACTTTATAATGCCTTGGTAAGGCCACACTTGGAATACTTCATCCAGTTTTGGTTGCCATGATGTAAAAAAGATATGGAGACTCCAGAAAGAGTGCAGAGAAGAGCAACAAAGATGATTAGGCGACTGGAGGCTAAAACATATGAAGAACGGTTGCAGGAACTGGGTATGTCTAATGAAGAGAAGGACTAGGGGAGACATGATAGCAGTCTTTCAATATTTCAGGGGTTGCCACAAAGAAGAGGGAGTCAAGCTATTCTCCAAAGCACCTGAGGGCAGGACAAGAAGCAATGGGTGGAAACTAATCAAGGAGAGAAGCAAACTAGAACTAAGGAGAAATTTCCTGACAATTAGAACAATTAATCAGTGGAACAACTTGCCTCCAGAAGTTGTGAATGCTCCAACACTGGAAGTTTTTAAGAAGAGATTGGACAACCAATTTGTCTGAAATGGTATAGGGCAGTGACGGCTAACCTTTTTGCCATCGCGTGCCAAAAGTGGGGGGGAGTGTGTGTGGGGGTTGCTCGCGCATGTGCCCACACCCATAATTCTATGCGCCCCGCCACCACGCATGTGTGTGCAACCCCCCCATGCTCCTCCCACTTTTGGCATGCGATGGCAAGGTAGGGCCGTTTTTCGCTCTCCCCAGGCTCCAGAGCCTTTCTAGGAGGCTGGAGAGGGCAAAAATGGCCTTCTCCACTCCCCCGGAGGCCGGAAACAGCCTTTTTCCTGACTTCCGGTGGGCCCAAAAGGCCTGAAAATCAGCTGGCTGGCGCGTGTATGCATGCCGGAGCTGAACTTGCGTGCCCACTGATATGGCTTTGCGTGCCACCTGTGGCACACGTGCCATAGGTTCACCATCACGGGTATAGGGTTTCCTGCCTGAGCAGAGGATTGGACTAGAAACCTCCAAGGTCCCTTCCAACTCTGTTATTCTATTCTATTCTATTCTATTCTATTCTATTCTATTCCACTCCATTCCACTCCATTCCATTCCATTCCATTCCATTCCATTCCATTCCATTCTACTATTCTATTCTATTCTATTCTATTCTATTCTATTCTATTCTATTCTATTCTTTGTAGCAGTGTTTGATTAAGACAAGCATTTTACCTGTTGTGAAGTGCAGATGACTGGTATGCCCAGATTTATTTCCAAGGAAATTTGTGGTAGTTTTTAATATATATATATATATATATATATATATATATATATATATACATGTATAATGTCACCTCCGCTATCCACCTTTACTGCTAATGTATGGCTCTAGCGAGACAGACGAGAGCCACAATGAAGCAGATGGACACTTGTGTAAATGTCTCATTATCCTCCTCATCCTTTAACACTCAAGTGGGACTATGGTTGCCACAAGGAAACATTTTGACTAAAGTACATAAAGTAGGAGAAGTTCCAACAAGCTGAAAGGAATGAAGCATTGCTTAATTTTTTTATCACATGCCATCAAGTGCTGCCAACTGTTAGCAACCACATGGAGAGATTTTCCCCATGTGGTGATCTGCCTTAAAACTGCTCCTTCCACCATTCATCACTGTTAAGCCCATCCACTTCCTTGCTGGTTGCCCTCTTCTTCTCTTCCCTTCCATCTTTCCCAGCATTATGGACCCCTCAGAAAGGTAGGTCTTGGCATCATGTATCCAAAACACGATAAATTGAGCCTGATCATTTGTGCCTTAAATGAGAATCTGAGCTGATTTGCTCTATGTTCTATTTGTTGGTGGTCCATTTGTACGGTGAGAAATCTTCTCCAACACCAGAATACAGACATCATTTTTCTGTCCTGCTTTTTCTAAGTCCAATTGCTTCAATGCTCATCTCAATTTGAATTTAAGAAGAATATTCTCAGAATAACAGTGTTGGAAGGGACCTTGGAGGTCTTCTAGTCCAACCCCCTGCTCAAGCAGGAAACCCTAGATCAAGGGTTTCGGCAACCCGTGGCTCTGGAGCCACATGTGGCTCTTTCGTCCCTCTGCTGTGGCTCCCTGTCGCTCAAAATATGCGTCACAACTGCCAATGTGCGATACCCACCGATGCACAATTTATTAAGCTTTTCAACCCCCGGTAGGCCAACCATGGATAAATCCAAGAAAAGAAAAGTTCCAGGAGAAAACAGAATCTTTAATTCAACTACATATGCTAGTTTTGTGGCCACTCAAGAAATAGTCAGGCATGGGAAGGGTTTTGCGGCTCCCGGTGTTTTCTTTTCTGTGGGAATGGGTCCAAATGGCTCTCCTGAGTGTTTAAGGTTGCCGACCCTTGCCCTAAACCATTCCGGACAAATGTTTGTCTAATCTCTTCTTAAAAATTTCCAGTGTTGGAGCGTCCACAACTTTTGGAGGCAAATCGTTCCACTGCTTAATCGTTCTCACTGTCAGGAAATTTCTCCTTAGTTCTAAGTTGCTTCTCTCCTTGATCGGTTTCCATCCATTGTTTCTTCTCCCATCTTCTGGTGCTTTGGAAAATAGATTGACCCTCTTCTTCTTTGTTCTCACCCCTTTGTACAGATTGCCCCCAATCCTCTCCCTGCTCCCCAAATTAGACTGGTTTAGCAATGGGAAGGTCTACAGCAGTGGTGGGTTCCTCCCAGTTCGGCCCGGTTCGGCCGGTAGCGGTGACGATATGATGTCACCGAACCGGTTCTCTTTGTTCAGGAGCTTGGCCCCTCTGCCCCTCTGCCCCTGCCCCCACACGTTATTCTTACCTTTTATTTGGCCCCACCCCCAATCTATTGCTGCCTCCCGAATCCTAGCTGATCGGCTAGAAGGAAAAAAACTGTTTAAACTCTTGCAGTGGGGCTTCAAAGGGCCGCCTTACAGCTGATCAGTGTTAAAAGGCAGTGTGGTGGTAGACCGGTGCCTCCAAAAACGAATGAGTAGACCAGTGCCTCCAAAAACGAATGAGTAGACCGGTGCCTCCAAAAACAAATGAGTAGACCGGTGCCTCCAAAAACAAATGAGTAGACCGGTGCCTCCAAAAACAAATGAGTAGACCGGTGCCTCCAAAAACAAATGAGTAGACCGGTGCCTCCAAAAACAAATGAGTAAACCGGTGCCTCCAAAAACAAATGAGTAAACCGGTGCCTCCAAAAACAAATGAGTAGACCGTGCCTCCCCAAAACAAATGAGTAGACCGGTGCCTCCAAAAACAAATGAGTAGACTGGTACAGCTCTGCAAGCAGTTAAAAGCCTGGTAGACCAGTACCTCTGCTAAATCCTAAAGAATTGTCACGTGACCATCAAGCCACAACCACAAAATAAGCCACGACCACAGAACCGGTAGTAAAAAATTTTAGAACCCACCCCTGATCTACAGGGTTGCCCCGACTCCTTCAGCAACCAGCATCTCCTTTTCATCCCCATGGGCCAAGAGCTGCCCGCTACATATGACCAAAGCTCTCTCCTTCTGAAACCACTCAGAGGAAACAAGCCATACGCAAGGCGCAAACTCCAAGTTGCAAATAATATACAGGCAATTAATTATTAATGGTAACTGTAAGAAAGCATAAATAAAGAATGAAGGTAAAAGAAAGGAAACACAGCTTCAAAATACTCACCACTGGACGTCCTTTTCTTGTTACCATTCAATACCTGACAAACCTCTCTCTGGCTCAAAATATTAGGTTCCTAATTGCACAATTCTGCGCTGACTACACACAGTCACACACCCACCACTTTCACCTGCCTTTTTCTTAGAAAGAGGATTATTATATTAATAGGATAAATTAGCAACATGTGGCTTCTATTTATAGTGTACTTTGTAGATCTTGGTCTGATTCCAACAGTCTCTCCCTGCCAAAGTTCATTTCAAATCTCCAGGATGAGCCTCAGTGGCGCAGTGGTTAGAGTGCAGTACTGCAGGCTACTTCTGCTACCTGCCGGCTGCCTGCAATTTGGCAGTTCAAATCTCACCAAGCTCAAGGTTGACTCAGCCTTCCGTCCTTCCGAGGTGGGTAAAATGAGGACTCAGATTGTTGGGGGCAAGAGGCTGACTCTGTAAAAACAGCTTAGACAGGGCTGTAAGGCACTGTAAAGCTCTATATAAGTCTACCCTCAAAATGAAGCACACCAGAACAACTAGACACAAGAAGAGTTTTTTCCGATCGCCATCACTCTGCT